CAACGGCGGCGGCGCGAGTGCTGGATGGGTGCCTGGGCGAGCGACCGCAGCGGCGGCGGGGCAGAGAGGCGGGTTAGGGTGTGGAGAGAGAGAGAGAGAGAGAGAGTGTGTGTGTGTGGAAGGAGGTCGCGCAACAGGAGCGGGCCCATTTTATATCGTAGGACGTGAAATGATGAAAATGCCCTTGGCGGGGCACCGGAATTACACGCGGTGGCAGACGTTTTTTATCACTATTCATTCCTACAGTGCCGGGATCTGATCCGACGGCGTAGGTCATCCAACGGCTCGATCCGACGGCCCAGATCGCATCAAGCAGCCAGATCCAACGGTCAGAAATCCAAATCGCTGAGGAGACTCGGTGGAACAGTCCTCTCTTATTTCTGGATGTCAATCTTTAAAATTCCTAAACAAGTTTGTAAAGGAATATCTGACTCGATGTTGCACTAATGTTGGGGGGACAGTGACAACCAAAAGAGAATGCATTGGTGGATATTATGTGCGCCGAAGTGCAAAGGAGGTACGGGGTTTAGAGACATCCACTATTCTAATTTGGCTCTTCTAGCAAGACAAGCATGGAGGTTAATAGATAATCCAGATTCTTTGTGTGGTACTGTTCTGAAGGCAACGTATTTTCCTAATGGAGATTTGCTCAGTGCTAAATTAAGAAAGGGAGCTTCCTTCCTAGACAAGATCTTAAGGAGCTGCCTGTGTTTGTCCGTTCGCATTTTTTTCTTCAGAAAGTAACACTGCCGATGCACTCCATTAAACTGAAACGTTGGACAAGTCGGCAGCACACAGATTCAGTACAAACTGAGGTAGATGGCCAGCCCACACAATCTGGTTGCCATCCCCTAACAGAGCGCCTAGCACATACATTTTCTTTTTACATTGTCATATGCAACACACGGCAATTATGTAATTGCCATGTGCTTGCTTTAGCTTGTTGAAGCAGCGCCAAAGCTTCAGCATGTAGTGCGGAGCTGACTCCCTGAAGATGACCCGACGTCATCACAAAGAAAGCGCCCCGATGCCGCGGTAAGGCCCGATCATTCCTCGCAACAAAACCCCAGCCCCTTGAAAGAAAGGGAAGCTTGACGGATCGCCCCATCACAATCAGCGTCAATTTTAGCATGGCTGAGCAAAGGGAACGCCCACAGCAAGGAACTGATCTTTTCACTTTCGGAGATTTGTATTGCAATCCATACGTGTACAGAGCTGCAAGAGACCACCTCCTGTAAGCAACCTACAACCTGAAACCTCAACCTGACACAACATGAGACATAAGCAAACGATACAACTGACAGACGAGCTTGCCTTGGCGTGCTTGTTTAAAAGGCACCAAGCAAATGAACCGCGAGAGTAACCCAACACTAATTATTAATCCAAGCAAGTCACCGTGTCCTCATACAGAACATAGACGATAGACAGGTAAGTTTGCAAAGGCCGGCACAGAGGGCCAAATTATGGGTATAGCACATGGCAGACCCCGTGAACAGCATAGAAATTGGAAGAACCTACAGCACCATAACCATTTTCTGCATCTCGGCCACCGGAATTCAATCCTAGATAGCTGCAGAGCAGCCAATTTCATCAGTCAATGTTAAAGCTATGTATCACAATACATTCAGAGAAAAAACGTTAAAGTTATGTATCTCAATTTTTTGTACGACTCAAACAGTACACATTAACTTCACTGGTATTGTGGAAATCATGCCAAATGCTCCGAAACTGGACCGTCTCAGCGGTCAGCATCAGCAGACAAACCAACACTAGAAACAGAGAACCGCTACAGGAAAAGGGTTCATTTTTATCACCACACCTTCAACTCTTATTGTTAGGATATTCTCAAGTTTTTGGCTACATCTGTTATTCTGTTCTCAGTGAAGGCAAAAATCAAATAAAATCAGTGGTCCAAATAACTCCATTACAGGGAAATACTGGACATCCTAGCTTATCGAATCATTTGAAATATTCCTTGTTATCATGGGCACACAAGGGGCTCATGGGGCAACAAACCCAAACCATCTAGTTTATAGCTCATAGACATACTTTTCAGAAATGTACGAGCTAGCTAGTCGCTCACAAATAAAATTTAATTGAACTCATGTAGTAAAAGCCTCAACTGGGGATTGTGCATTGTCTTATTAACAGACACAGTTCCCTCGGCCCAAAATAGATGCATTATTCTTTCTTGACAACAACAAAAGCAATGCTTTGACCACTAGTTTACTGGTAATATTAATATGTCAGTAAAAAATACAATTTGTGACAAAAGCAGTGTTTACAGTGAATCTTTTAGTCATGGCATTTCGATCATATGTTTATAAAGTCTTAAGCACCTAAAGTGACCAAAAGTGCAGAAAATAGACTGCCGGCAAAGCATTGATACATATAGCTTGGACCAGACAAATCATGTTAGTGGATCATGGCAGATTACATATGCAAATTAGATAGACACTGAGAGATATGCTGAGAATAATATTTACGCAAACTGCCTTCTACTAGAACAATCATCCGTAAAACTGCAATAAATTGAGCAAAAGGATAAATAGAAATACAAAAATTAATGAAAGCATACTCTTTGAGTGTTTCTGACGATCATCAGTTCACTAGGTACAATAATGACCAAAAATAAGCAGCAATGTGAAATGATATAGCTATCCCGTTTATATGAAGGAAGCATGAAGCAAATGGTCGTCATGCATAGTTATCAAATACTCACGTAGAGGTAACACCATATAAATCGCATTAGGATTTGATAGACCCATAACCACGAAAAACTAATCAAAGGCATGTAGCAACTAGTAGAAGTAAAACAAACAAAAAATAAGTCCATGAAGAACACAAAAGAGGATGTACTGATTATGTTACCACTTAACATATTCACAGAGGGGAAGGGTAATGAGTTTTGACTCATCTGGGAGCTAGAGGGAGAAAAACCTGCATTATCAGAAGGAACTGGGGGAGTACTGAGGAGGTAACTGAAAGCATGGCAGTTCGATTGAACAGGAAGGCAACCGGAAGTATTCACATCCAGTAGAGAGGGGATAGAACATTAGCAAATAAAAGAGAAGTCAGGTGGTTAAAGGCATATGGAAGAGAAGCAGGGCCTGGAGAAGACGTCAAAGATGCAGTCTGCCATCAATGCAAGGAGGTGACCGGGTGAACATGTAAGCAAAGAGTTGTGGATGATAATAAACAGATGAAGACAGTTTGCTAGCTCTGACTTGAACAACAAGAATTTCAGAAGTGAAACTGAACAATAGACCAATTGCAGGCCATCGCCAGGCTGCAGAGAATATACAAGACTATATACCACTAACAGATTTATTTTTTCTAACAAATCATAATCATTACATACAACGCCACCACACAAGAATCAGAATAGAAATACAGGAAACAATCGCTATATGTTTAAGAGGTCAGCAAGCAGCGAAAGGAACAAGTGATATGACACTACTTAAAATTGTTAACTCAACAGGAAAGGATGAACCATATATGCCATGAACCAATTATCAAAAATTAACTTGGTTTTGTCATAACGAACATGTCAAGACATGCTTTACCTGCAGCGTAGACACTTCTGAATGGATGATAATGAGAAAGGGGGTAGGTTCCAGAAAGCTTCTTGAACTTCATTGACTCAAGATGGACCGTTAAGACGATGTGATCTGCCCACACGAATACCACATTATTTTCCTCCTCGAGCCCTGGTATCAACATGTTAGTCTCCTGAGATTTCAGAGAAAGTAGCTTGTCCAGTTCAGTGGTTCTTCCAAGCCCCCATGAAGCAACACCATCACAATCAGTCTTCATCTTCCACAATTGGATGCTGCAGTCTGTCTGGATGAGTAAACCAAGGCCCCCACCCTCTGCCCGCATAATCAACATGTACTGGCCCTCTTCAAGGATATCCACTGGAACCCTTATCACAGCTAGGCTTTGATTCTCCAAATCAAACTAGAGAATTCCATCCATATTCCAAGCAAGCTTCCAGTAAAGGGAATCCCCAACCAGCACAGCAGGCTTGTCAATCGAAACCAAGGTGGGAGCATCACTCATTATAACGTCAGGTGGAAGCTGTGTTGAGACCAGATCACCCCACGCGCCGGTCTCTGACGAGTAAGCGCAGGCAAGCGCTCGCCTGTGTTGCTCGTCGTCGTTGTCTGCCACTACCAACACCACTTGGAAGTGCTGCGCATCGTCTCCGGCCGCATGAGCACGAAGCACCGCCCCATTGATCGATGTCTTCTCTGCATGTACCGCAACCCCCGGGGGCAAGACAAGGCGGCGCTGGTCGCCGGTGACGGGGTCCCACACCAGGATCTGGTTCTTAGGTTTGTTGGAGATGAGTACCAGGCCATGGCGGCATCCGAGGGGCATGAACCGGTCGCCGTCGCCGCGCTGCAAGGAGAAACGACCGGGGGAGACACGATCCGGGGCGTCGAGAGTGGGTACGAAGGGCAGGCCGTTATTCCTGCGGAAGAAACCGAGGAGGGGAGGGCTGCGGCGGTGGCGGATGCGGAAGCGGCGGGAGAATCCTGGGTCGGAGACGAGGAGGCGCCAGCGCTTGCAGACAGCGGAGGCGCGGGGCAGGGAGGAGGGCTGCGGGGGCAGGCGGACGAGGATCTCGGGGAGCAGATCGTCGTCCTCCAGTGGGCTCATCGCCGGCGAGGGGGGTTGGGGGTGGTGGCGGCGGCGGCGGCGGCGGCGCTGCTCGTGCCGTTGTGCGGGCTGTACGCGATGTGGTAGGTGGAGTCGAAGCAGCAGCACCCCAAAATGAAATGTGGAAATGGATCGGCCCAAACTTACACTGAAGATATCCTTTTGTATGTTTTTTTTTTCTCGCACAAGTGTGTATCATATCTCTCCTATGATCCTATCTATAGTATCTACACTATCTAAATCTACGTGATTATTAAAAGAGCAAACATGAATTCTCATATATCTATATCTATATCTATATCTATCTATCTATCTATATCTATACCTACTATTAAAAGGAATAGGTATTCTTGGTTTGGTTTAGTCCTTTTCGTTTGATTTACACACGCTAAGCGATCTGGACCAGGTACTTGTATGTTTATGGGCCTTTTATGGGCTTTCATAGAGACCGCAAAAAATAATTGGGTCAAAATAAATCAATATTGTGGGAATTGAACATAAGACCTCCTGTCTAACTCTTCCATGTAACAACCAACGACTTATGCGTCTTTCACATTTACTAATCCCAACTCGCTCTAAATATATGAGTGGAAGTAATCATGTTTAGCGCGAGCTAACTAAGCGAATGAGCTAATAAAGGAAGGATTGTTGGCTTAAATAGAATATTTAAATGGATGTGACTAATTAAAGAAAGAATTATGGATAAACCGGTGGAATAACTAAATGAAAGATTGTGGTCTTAATAAATTCAACATGAAGGATTTGAGGTAAAAAAGTAGGATAATTAAAAGGAAGGATATGTAGGCTTCAATGTGTTGGGGCTATTAAATTAGAAAAGAAAGGATTTGATTCCCTATTAAAACTGGTGAGGACGTCATAGTAATTAATAAAAGGATTATACTTAAATCACTAAATGCCATTAGAAAAAGAATTATACTTAAATGAAATCAGTGAAAGATTATGCCTGGCAAAGAAAATATGAACACGGCTAAATATCAACGTATTTTTTTTATGTTTATTTTGTAGAAGGATGTTGCGTTGCAGCTTCATAGTGAATCTGGTACTCTGGACATTATGTTTGCACAAAATATTATTTTTTTCTGTTGCAACGCACAGGCATATGTGCTAGTCGACATCAAAAAATATACAAAGGATTACTAGGGATGTTTGATCAATCAAATAAAATCATATTCGACGGTATCTGCCACACAAACTAATGCCCCTCATTAAATGTTCTGCGGGCAGACCACCTCGCGCACTTTCTTCATCCTCAATTATCGGGGATTACTATGCCATAATTGTTGGGGAACGTTGCAGAAAATTAAAATTTTTCCTACGGTTTCACCAAGATCCATCTATGAGTTCATCTAAGCAACGAGTCAAGGGAGTGAGTTTGCATCTACATACCACTTGTAGATCGCGTACGGAAGCGTTCGAGGGAACGGTGATGATGGAGTCGTACTCGCCGTGATTCAGATCACCGATGACCAAGTGCTGAACGGATAGCACCTCCGCGTTCAACACACGTACGGTACGGGCGACGTCTCCTCCTTCTTGATCCAGCAAGGGGGAAGGAGAGGTTGAGGAAGAAGGCTCCAGCAGCAGCACGACGGCGTGATGATGGTGGAGAGGCAGTACTCCGACAGGGCTGCGCCTTGACTTGGGTGTTCAGCCCTCCCCTCACCCCTCTATTTATAAGGGAAGGGGCAAGGGGGGCGGCCCCTCTAGATGGGATCTAGAGGGGGGGCGGCGGCCAGGGAGGGGGGACTTGCCCCCCAAGCAAGGGGGGGCGCCCCCTCTAGGGTTCCCCCCCAACCCTAGGCGCATGGGCCCAAGGGGGGCGCGCCCAGCCCTCCAGGGGCTGGCTCCTGCCCCACGCAGCCCATGTGCCCCCCCCGGGAGGGGTGGCCCCTCCCGGTGGACCCCCGGAACCCTTCCGGTGGCCCCGGTACAATACCGATATGCCCCCGAAACCTTCCGGTGTCCGTATGACAACTTCCCATATATAAATCTTTACCTCCGGACCATTCCAGAACTCCTCGTGACGTCCGGGATCCCACTCACTTTCTTGTAAACGCAGGCTTCTCCATAAGTCTGCGTAAACCCAAACGCTTTGATCATCTCATCAAAGCGAATGTTCCAACTCCGAGATGCTTGCACCAGCCCATAAATGGATCGCTGGAGCTTGCATACTTTGTTAGCATTCTTAGGATCGACAAAACCCTCCGGCTGCATCATATACAGTTCTTCCTTAAGATGCCCGTTAAGGAATGCCGTTTTGACGTCCATCTGCCATATCTCATAATCATAGTATGTGGCAATTGCTAACATGATTCGGACGGACTTAAGCTTCGCTACGGGAGAGAAAGTCTCATCGTAGTCAATCCCTTGAACTTTCCGATAACCCTTAGCGACAAGTCGAGCTTTATAGATGGTGACATTTCCATCCGCGTCCGTCTTCTTCTTAAAGATCCATTTGTTTTCTATCGCTCGCCGATCATCGGGCAAGTCAGTCAAAGTCCATACTTTGTTTTCATACATGGATTCTATCTCGGATTTCATGGCTTCTAGCCATTTGTTGGAATCTGGGCCCGCCATTGCTTCTTCATAGTTCGAAGGTTCATCGTTGTCCAACAACATGATTTCCAGGACAGGGTTGCCGTACCACTCTGGTGCGGAACGTGTCCTTGTGGACCTACGAAGTTCAGTAGCAACTTGATCCGAAGTACCTTGATCATCATCATTGTTTTCCTCTTCAGTTGGTGTAGGCATCACAGGAACATTTTCCTGAGCTGCACTACTATCCTGTTCAAGAGGTAGTACTTCATCGAGTTCTACTTTCCTCCCACTTACTTCTTTCGAGAGAAACTCTTTTTCCAGAAAGGATCCGTTCTTGGCAACAAAGATCTTGCCTTCGGATCTTAAGTAGAAGGTATACCCAATGGTTTCTTTAGGGTATCCTATGAAGACGCATTTTTCCGACTTGGGTTCGAGCTTTTCAGGTTGAATTCTTGACATAAGCATCGCATCCCCAAACTTTTAGAAACGACAGCTTAGGTTTCTTCCCAAACCATAATTCATACGGTGTCGTCTCAACGGATTTAGACGGTGCCCTATTTAAAGTGAATGTAGCTGTCTCTAGAGCGTATCCCCAAAATGATAGCGGTAAATCGGTAAGAGACATCATAGATCGCACCATATCCAGTAGAGTGCGATTACGACATTCGGACACACCGTTACGCTGAGGTGTTCCAGGCGGCGTGAGTTGTGAAACGATTCCACATTTTCTTAAGTGTGTACCAAACTCGTGACTTAAATATTCTCCTCCACCATCCGATCGTAAGAATTTTATCCTTCGGTCACGTTGATTCTCTACTTCATTCTGAAATTCCTTGAACTTTTCAAAGGTCTCAGACTTGTGTTTCATCAAATAGACATACCCATATCTACTCAAGTCATCAGTGAGAGTAAGAACATAACGATATCCTCCGCGAGCCTCAATGCTCATTGGACCGCACACATCGGTATGTATGATTTCCAACAAGTTGGTTGCTCGCTCCATTGTTCCGGAGAACGGGGCCTTCGTCATTTTGCCCATGAGGCATGGTTCGCATGTGTCAGATGATTCATAATCGAGAGACTCTAAAAGTCCATCAGCATGGAGCTTCTTCATGCGCTTGACACCAATGTGACCAAGGCGGCAGTGCCACAAGTATGTGGGACTATCGTTATCAACTTTACATCTCTTGGTATTCACGCTATGAATATGTGTAACATTACGTTCGAGATTCATTAAGAATAAACCATTGACCATTGGGGCATGACCATAAAACATATCTCTCATATAAATAGAACAACCATTATTCTCGGATTTAAATGAGTAGCCATCTCGTATTAAACGAGATCCAGATACAATGTTCATGCTCAAACTTGGCACTAAATAACAATTATTGAGGTTTAAAACTAATCCCGTAGGTAAATGTAGAGGTAGCATGCCGATGGCGATCACATCGACCTTGGAACCATTCCCGACGCGCATCGTCACCTCGTCCTTCGCCAGTCTCCGCTTATTCCGCAGCTCCTGCTGTGAGTTACAAATGTGAGCAACGGCACCGGTATCAAATACCCAGGAGTTACTACGAGTACTGGTAAGGTACACATCAATTACATGTATATCAAATATACCTTTTGTGTTGCCGGCCTTCTTATCCGCTAAGTATTTGGGGCAGTTCCGCTTCCAGTGACCCTTCCCCTTGCAATAAAAGCACTCAGTTTCAGGCTTGGGTCCATTCTTTGACTTCTTCCCGGCAACTGGCTTACCGGGCGCGGCAACATCTTTGCCGTCCTTCTTGAAGTTCTTCTTGCCCTTGCCCTTCTTGAACTTAGTGGTCTTATTGACCATCAACACTTGATGTTCTTTCTTGATTTCAACCTCTACTGACTTCAGCATTGAAAATACTTCAGGAATGGTCTTTACCATCCCCTGCATATTGTAGTTCATCACAAAGCTCTTGTAGCTTGGTGGGAGCAACTGAAGGATTCTGTCAATGACCGCCTCATCCGGGAGGTTAATGTCCAGCTGGGACAGGCGGTTGTGCAACCCAGACATTTTGAGTATGTGCTCACTGACAGAACTATTTTCCTCCATCTTACTTCATATCTCTCGACCCAGGCATGAGCTTGGAAAACTAGTTTCAGCTCCTCGAACATCTCATATGCTCCGTGTTGCTCAAAACGCTTTTGGAGCCCCGGTTCTAAGCTGTAAAGCGTGCCGCACTGAACGAGGGAGTAATCATCAGCGCGAGTCTGCCAAGCATTCATAATGTCTTGGTTCTCTGGGACGGGTGCATCACCTAGCGGTCCTTCTAGGACATATTGTTTCCTGGCAGCTATGAGGATGATCCTCAGGTTCCGGACCCAGTCCGTATAGTTGCTGCCATCATCTTTCAGCTTGGTTTTCTCTAGGAACGCGTTGAAGTTCATGTTGACATGAGCGTTGG